TTCCCGGGGCTATGGTTCATTTACATGGAAAATGGAATGAAATTAACGGGACGGTGTAATTTTCGGGCGCGAGTGGTTAATAATAACTCGTCGCGAGTGAAATTTTACGGAACGATGGGCTTCAGTCTCTGTTCAAATTTCGGTAACCGCGCATTCGTAATGGTTGATTCTAACAGATGGAGAATTCTGGCTTCACTCTGACATCGAACAAATTACCTCGTTAATGCAGTGTTTTACAGACACCGAATGGGAAGCTTTTCGTGAAAAATAGAGAATCGATACACGTGGCTTAACGGGATACGATTGCAGCCAAGATTGATTTTTTTATTAGAAAGAAACTATTTGGAATTAGTAGACAACCATTAATACGGAAAACGGTTGTTTCGTTACGAAGCTTTCCACGCGAATATTTCCACCATTTCGAGTAAAACAAAACTGCAATAAGTTTAATACATATTTAAAATTTTCAATCTTCATTTTTTCTATTTCTGTACGTCCAAGTCTCTTCTTTATAGTTCCATACCACTATTATTTTCTCTTTTAATACCTACGTATCCACATTTTCTTAAATAATTTTTTCTTGAGCATTTCTCTTTTACATTGTACTTTTTCGTTCCTTCCAAGCACACTCCTTTCACATACATCCAATTTCTATTTTGTCTCCTTTAAGTTTTTCCTTTTCCTTAAACCTTTAAGTTTCGTCTGGAATAAACAGATTAAAGCTAATTCAAACTTGTTGAACCCGGTTTAAATTAGTTCCCTTTGTACGAAAGGGGCTTAAAGTTGGACTTGCATTTCTTTGAATTCTTTCACACCAACTTAGAGAAGTTGGAGATTGGCTCAACAATTGGATTTGCGTTTGTTTAAATTTCTTCGAATCGTTGAATATTTCTATTTTTCAAACTACAATATACATTTAGTAAACGGGTTGAAATAAAAATACAAAAGTTTTTTCACGATATACTGATGATGAGAACCCCTCTAAACTAGCATTATCTTGTTCGCGCTTTAATCTAGAATCACTTAAGCGCGCAGGAAATATCTGTGATCAAAATTCCGTCACGATCCGAGTCGCACAACGTCTCGCGTTGGATCGCGCTACTATTGCCTAAAACAATTTCTTCCTTGCATCGAAACACGTCCAGTCATATCTGGACAAGAAGCTTTCGTGATTCCGAACAGTTTGGAATTTCTCGAATTGCACACCATGCAACCGTACACACTATAGCATTATCTTGATACTGTTTAGCTATTTTCAGATCGATCGTTAACGAACGTTCAAGTTTCACCAAGTTTTATTCAAACTGCCTAGTCAATCGTGTTACTTATTTGCAACTATTATAGTTCTCGTAAGACATCCATTTGTTATATCAAAATTGCTCAAACTAAATATTAGATTAAGTAACAGAAAGGTATACGATTTTTCTCCCATAAAACAGTATGTATAAAGCACGAATTTTCGAAATATTTCGACCACACGTTTACGTTTCTTCTCAGGGAATTAAAATTTAGAAAGAATTATACGTATTACAATTTTTATAGTTTTTCTAAATATGATTTTACTATCTCAAAATTGTTCGAACTAAATAACAGATTAAATGCTAAAAGTCTGTACGATTTTTGTCCCATAAAACAGTATATATAAAGCACGAGTTTTCGAAACATTTCTCAATTTGATTCTCATCAGTGAATAAAAATTTAAAAGGCTCGTACAAATTACAACTTCGTGAAACCAGAAACACCAACACCGTCCCGTGATATTGTACGCGTCAATCTTCGTTGGTACAACGACAAATTACGAATCATTCACATCGATTACTACGTTTACCATATATCGCTGTGCAATTTAATCTGTTCTTGATACGAAATTTGCAAACGTTTCCCGTTGTTTGTTGATTGGCGTGGACGTTCGTCCGCGTCTGGCGAACTTATTCGACTGAAACGTCGATAAGGGTTGTTGTTAATGGTAGCTCGAAACACCGGCGAAATAAAGGACTTTATTAATAGCTTGGTAGTTGGCGGAAATGAATATCAGCGGGGCAGGGGGGGGGGGGTCTGGTCGGAAAAATAGAAACGAGCAGGCAAATCCGTTGGCCAGACAGCGGAGTTCTCGTTTCGTGCTGCTCCTTTCAACCGCTAGCAGGAAAATTCGAGCTGGAAGCGAAACGTCGCGTTTAATTTATCGCGAGCTTCAGCGTCAGAATTTCACCGGGATTTCCCGGACGGCGATCTTACCGTTTCCACGCGAAAACGAGTAGAGAAGCAAATTTTACACGACCGGATGACAGTATTATCTTCCACCGTGGCGTCGCTGTTAATTTAAAATTACCGGGAGCATTGAAACTGTCCCGGAAAATAACGAGAGCCGGTAATTTGAACACCGCCAACAGCGGAGCCTTCTTAATTTATTTCTCTTACTAATAAATATCGTCGAAAAATATCAACTTTATTTAAAGTCAATGCGACATGTGAACTTTGAAATACACCAAAAATATAAAGATTATAGCTACTCGAAATCAAGGTTCTGGCTCTTTCTTATTCATAACGGTCTCTTTTTTAATCACAGTGTATTAACCACTTCATTAAGCGCAACCAATTCGAGCAGAAGATACTCAAAAGGAACTTTCGCGAATCGAGGAAAGAAAGAACAGACGTTCCATTTTCTTCCAGAAAGTCTCGGAAAATTAAACCTGCTTTCCAGCGCAATTGCATCGCAATATTCGCGAATACGCGGAAACGTAGAGGCAGAATCGAATACATTTTTACGTTTAAAAAGAAGGGGACTTAATCTCTCGACCGTTGTCATTTTTACACGAGATTCTTAGAAGCTAAAGTAATCAACTTTATCGCTTTGACTGTTACAATCAATTCTCAAATTGAATTGTTAAAGAAAATATATTTGAATACGATTCATGGATTTTAGCGAGGTTACGAAAATAAGTGACAAATTTCAAGTTACGTAATTTACAATTGTCTAAAATTTGAGTTTTGATATCGTGAAAAATTTTACGATTTTGATCTGACAGTCAATATGTTACAAAACAAGAAGATTCTAAGACTAAAGCTTAAAATGGAATTAATTACCCTGACTTCTGGGCAGTCCAAGCAATAATTTTTTAAGCCATAGTAACCTAATGTAGAAAAACGTTGGTCACAATTATCATAATAGAGGACGCCTGGAAATGAAAAATTCATGCAGGATCTTTCAGAGTACCTTCAGAGATGGGAAAGTTGTTAGAAATGAGTCAAAAATATAAACATGACGATGCTTGAACTCAGCTAATTTTATTCTCAAAATAATTAATGAGAAAATTAGCGGTTAGATGAATTGAGGCTTGTAATTGAGCAAACCTAAGGTACCATATAATTATTGCTATATGGAAGCAATACGTTCTCCGAATTCGCATCCACATGATGTGCAAATATTCCAATTCGGTTTCACTTTTCTTAATTAAATCATGATGATGAGCGAAGTTAGCTATATTTGGTTCTCGAATTAATTAACGAGAAAATGAGATGACTGATGAAATGAGGCTTGAAATTGGGCAAACCTAAGGTATCAATTTAATTATTGCTACGTGGAAACAATACATAACAATACGTTCTCCGACTTGGCATCCACATGATTGCGCAAATATGGCTTCCAATTCAGTTTCACTTTTCTCAATTAATAGATATGGAAATTGAATATGTAACATAAAAGACATATATATTTATATATTTTTGAGATGATGACAACTTGTGAAACCTCAAAATAAAGAAATATTATTGTAATTTTGCAGCAACCAGAACAATCACAATTTTGACTAAAAACGAAACTAGTTTCAAATATTTTTTATACGTATTAATTAAGAAAAATGAAACACTTGCACAATCATGTAAATGCAAAGTTGGACAGTTTTTTTTCATAGGGAGACACTCTGAAAGATCCTGCATAAAATTTTCATTTTCAAACGATGCTAAAAATGTGCATTTTTTAACATCCTGAAATTAACATAATCGAAATTAAAGGAAAACATGCAAAAAACGACGATTAAGCTTCAAAGTGTGCTATTGTTTTAATTATTGACTTTTTTCCTTTATCCTGCTACCGGCTATAGTCAAACTCATGCTAATTGAGGATCTTTCACGTTTTTTCACTTCAAACTAACAGAATAAACTATGTTTGACTGTATTTGAGAGTATACAATGTCACCAATTTGAATTTCCATTCGCTTAAAGAATGTTAAAACGTCACCGAAACATGTATAAATAAACAATATTTTGACATCATTTAATTAGGTCGACCCATAAGTTCGTGCCGTTCGACATCCTAAAATTAACGAGGATAAAATTTGTAATTGAATAGAAAACTAACAAAATTTGTCAGTTGAGAGGATTTTTGAAATTTGAAACATATTAACATCAATAATTCATACAAATTTGAAGTTTGGAATCAACACTAGTTTACAGAACGAAATATTTTTAATTGTGCATGAACCTGATTGTATGAATATTTTTGTTAACATCTAATAAAATCGAACCTTATAAAAAATAAAATGCAACAATCTTTAAGCTTATTAATGGGTAGTAAATTTGAAAATATCAACGTTTTAACGAAAAGCGTTGAGCTACGTTTTAATAAAAAATCGAAGAAGTTTTGCAGCGACGATAGAATGGCTTTCCCAAAGGAAGGGGAAGGAGTTGTCGAGCTAGAAGAAGTTTATAAAATTCTATTACATGTTTAAAATATTGCTTTAAATTGTACTATAAAACTCGATACGAACATATGGGACGACCTAATAGTTTACTCGTTCAAAAAATTCCCTAAGAAAGTCCAGAAATACACACTGCGGATTAGAATACGCCCTTAAATTGTTTAGAACAACTTGAAGAACGGCCGGGACTAAAGTCGGAAGTTTCGCGCGGATCCGATGCAAACGAGTAAGATATGCGCGCAAGGTAGAACCAAAAAAAAAAAAAAATACTGGAGAAATTATCGCGAGGACGAGAGTACTCACTAGGATCCTTGACTGCGGTGATAACGAGACGGAAGCCGTTTGCGTTGGTGCCCCAGGAGTCGGTGATGTATTTCAGTGTCACAAAGTTCGTGCGGGTATAAATCGCGCCCACAGTCTGCTTCGTGTTCCTGCAGGACAGGTCCGCCTGGAACACAAAAGAAACGGCACTCGTTGGATGCGAGGGTAACATGGAGAACAGTCTTGGCCGCCCGGTTTAGACGCCACCGAATGTGCTACCAGGGTAATAAACTAGCTTCTTGTCTCCGTATCTGCACAATCTGTGTAAACAATAACAACATCATAACAGGATTGTTTGGATCGTGGCCCAACTCGACGCCCCATATGCTTTAAGGGGGCAAACCACTGTGACGGCTGACAACAAAGGCAATTTTCAAGAATTTTTTGAACGTAACTGCGAAACTTTTTTGTGGAAAGTCGCAAAAAGTTTCATCAAACCCCCATGTCATAAAAAAATTTCCAAATATCACTTTTCGTTTTACCATTATACATGAGTCTTCCCCCTTAAAGGAACCTTGTTCAATTACATATGTATAATTCAGTCAATTTTGACTATTTTCACTTTAAAAAAGTATACTTTTTTTTATTAAAAAATTCTTAAAAAGACCAAACAAATGAAATTCTAGAATATCCCTTTAAGGGAAGAAGCCACTGTCATGACTGAAAATAAAGGCAATTTTCAAGAATTTTTTCGACGTAACTATGAAACTTTTTCTGATAAATGTTTAATGTTTTCGAAACTACATTTCTCGAACTACTTGTAAAAATTCTCCTATAAAAATATTAATTATTACAGTCATAATAGGAACCAGCGTGAGAAGCCTTCAAATATTAAGCATTCTTAAACCCCTAAACATTGAAAATAGATAAAAAAATTTCGATTTTTTGAATCCATCACAGTGGTTTCCCCCCTTAATGGCGTCAAAAGAAACCTGCTTGGGTTTAGTTGTGTTGCAATTTGTCGATTACGTAATAAAAGTAAATAAATAGAATTGAATGTTTTTAATAAAGTTCGATCACCGGTTTAATTTTAATTAATTTTAGTGAGAACACTCCACACCCCTGGGCGCAGAGTACGCGCCTTAATTTACCCGCGATACGTAACAAAACTTTAAGGAAATTTTATGCAAACAGAATTTCTAAAAGCACCTCATCTAGTCTAATCTGCATTTAACGTGTCAGAACAGAATTTCTTAAAGCGTTTCATAAACTAAGGTTTACAAAGTAAGAGGATAAGTACGCAGTTTCCTGCCATAACTTTCAACTTAAGTTAAAACAACGCGGACAGAGCTCATTATTGCCCAACACGAAATGTTGGCGAACTTTCAGCTACGATTAAACTTCGAATTGCAAATTTTATTAGAGAAAAATCAATTCCCGTTCTTTTCTTTCGCGTTTATCTCGAAGCTGCATATTTCAAGCTGATTCCCACCTTGGAAACTATTGATCCGATTCGCCTGAAACGTTCACAGGATATTCTTACGTATACTATTTAAAATATAACATTAATTGTAATATTTTTTGTTTTAGATCAGTCAATAAGCTTGAGTTGTTCAAAGATGAAAGACCAAGTAGAGATACGATTTTCTGAAGTGGCCTCTTATTATCTTACCTTGTTACATTTAGTCATTTCAAGTGACTAATTTATTATTTTGAAACGCTCGTACCATAATAAATGAAAATAAATATGCAATAAGTAAAATTGTACGAGTAAGTTTCGAAGATAAACGCGTTTTAAATCAAAAAAAGATTCCTAGTGTTAACACGTATTATTTACAAACTTCTTTAGTAATTTATGAATTCCCTTAAACTGTTGAACTATTGAGCATATAAACCAACATTGAATAGAATTGTTATAAATTAAATTATTCAAACATTTTACAATTTGATGTAATATTTTAATAAATAGTCTAGCAACGCGTACTAAAAGTACATAAACTCATGTTTTCTGTATAACTGAGCCATCATTAGAAGCTTCAAGGCTTCCCCTTTAAAATGGTTTCTGTTTTATGTAGATTCGACTTTTCGTTTTGGAGGTATCGTTATTAAATAATTTCTAGTTAGACTTTATTTAATTTCAAAAGTAACGTCTGTTACACAAATTCTAATTTTTATTCAACGTTCGATGCAGAAAATGTTGCTTACGTTTTACATATTATATCAAATTTAGAACATATCATAATATAGAAAGTTTAATAGAACGATATTTAGTATAAAACTGGGAACGAATTTATGGAACGACCTAATGCAATCCCCAAAACCTGTCAGATACTTTGTGCACAAATCGTGCAAATACACAGGGTGTTCGGTCAAACCTTGGGAAGAATTTTAATGGGACATTCTAGAGGCCAAAATAAGACGAAAATCAAGAATATCAATTTCTTGACTCAGGCTTTATTAAAAAGTTATTAAAAAATTAAATTAAAAAATTTCAAATCATTCTGAAAGAATTATTTTCAGTTGCGGGGGTCAAGTACAATCATTTTTGGTGAATACACATACCCATAAAATCCTACCCACTTTCGAGAAAACAATTCGAGTAAGTACTGAAATTTTTAGACGAAATTAAACAATTTCAAATCATAGTATAAAAATGATATTTAGTTACAGAGGTCAATTACAATCATTTTTGGACAATAGACATCCCCCCGAAATCCTACCCATTTTCTAGAAAAAAATTCGAGAAGATGTGAAATTTTTCGACAAAATTAAAAAATTTCAAATCGTTCTGTAAAAATTATTTTCGGTTGCGGGGGTCAATTATAATAATTTTTGGTGAATAGACTTTCCCCCCGAAATCCTATCCAATCCACTTTCTAGAAAAAAATTCAGTACGGGGCAGAACTTTAAACATTAATAACTTTTTAACGTAGCTTCCATCAACAAATTAGTATTCTTGATTTTCGTCTTATTTTGGCCTCTAGAATCCCCCATTAAAATTGTTCCCAAAGGTGGCCGAACATCCTGCATAATAAATCGTACGGTTGTAATTTGGTGAATGAATGGATACTTGATAAATTGCAAGAGTCGAACGTTCAGGTGATAGTAATAGGATCTTTTACCCCGTTCAGAATAAAAATTCCCGTTGACTGATTAAAGATTCGGAATTATGACTGTTTTCAACCCCTCGAGAGAAACTCACGCTCGAACAGTCGCTAGACCGACCGCTCGGAAGCATTTAACGCGGTCCGACATCGAAAAGAAATCTTGGGAAACGCTAGACAAACACTGGCCTTCGTCGATTAATTAACGAGGCGCAGAATTATCCTGTCACGTTGATCTCATTTGTTTCCCGCAAGACGTAATCCGTCCAACACTTGTTGCATCTTACTACTTAACGCGGAACCCCGGAAACAGACGACGCGGAAGTTGAAAAAGGGAGGGGGAAAAAGGCAAATCGTTAGAGGCGGTCATCGATCGTTCTCGATTCGTTTGCTTCCGGGCCGTTGTTTCTTCGCGGCTTCGTTATCGCGAAATATTACACCGAGCCCTTCGAACAGTAACTGTCTTCTTTCTGCCCCAATTAGCAAGAGTAAGAGCTTAAATACAGATAATCCATATTTAATTATGCCCCGTTGTTTTCAGCCCGGAACGACGATGGCCTCCGCGCGTCACGTAAACCGAAGTAATTAAAATCCGCGCGCCTGCACGCGTATGTTCGAAACGATTACCCGCGCGGCGAGCGTTAAAATTCAAGCTCGCGCCACGTTGAAACGGATTTTCACAGATAAAGTGATTTTAATTTGAGAATACTAAACAACCGCGATACCTGCTACGAATATCGTTAACGGATTACCACGTTGTGTCCGAAACGCCATTCTTTCAGCTTTTTCGTATCGTTTCGAAAGAGTTTCTCTATTCCCAAATCCATCGAGCGGACTTTAAAAATATTTCAGGAACGTACTACGTACAATATTGTTATTAAGACACGATATTTCTTTCCGGAAAAGCCATTACGTATTACAGTAAGGAGCGAAACTGAACACACAAACGACATTTTAACAAAAATAATTTTTTATTCAATATTTGCATATAGAATACAAAGAAGACAAAATACTTAGTATTGTCTACAATCTTCTGGCTCTTCAAAACAAATGTAACATTTGTGATATCATTATTATTTCGTTTCGTACAATTTTTGTTCGTGTAGTCAGTTTTGCACTGTAACTAATTTTAAGTGTACATTTCGGATTTTGGTACAGTTAATATTTCGTTCATAAACCTTTCACCTTGATAATTGCTTCAACACGTTTAGACATACTTAATACTACATTTTCGTAATACTCTGGTGTAATAAAATACCATTGTTCTTGCACTCAATGCCACAAATCAGTTATCGTTATTGGGGGAGCATCATATTTATTTCATAACTTCATTTTTAAGTATGCCCAGACATTTTCAATCGGGATTATGCCTAGCGTTTGAGCAGGCCATTCCATGGTTTGAAATTGACTTTGCAGCCAATTCTTCATGCTGTTCGCACAATGCTTAGAAGCGTTGTCATGTTGGAATACCTCATCAACTCTAATACTCACATATTTTCAATTGTTTCTAGTAAATTTTTTTCTAAAATATCCTTATACGTATACTACTTCACCGTACCTTCTATTCGATGTAGTGATCCTACATCACACGCAGTAATACACCCCCATACTATAAGTGACACACCACGAAATTTCATTGTTGGCTTCACATGACGTGGTATAAGAAGTTCGTCTTGCTTTTTCCAACACCAACAACATCCATTCGATGAAATTCGATTGGTTTTTGATTCATTGGAAATAATTACTTTTTTCCATTGCTCCATATTCCAGGTTAAATGTTTTCTTGAAAAATTCAGACGTGCCTTGACATTCTTTTTTGATAGGAAAGGTTTTTTTTCTTCTTAATTGTTGTAAAATTGGCTTCTTTTAATGCTCTTCGAGATATCGACTTACTAATTTCCTTCCCAACATCGATTTTAACAGTTTTATCTTGTCAATCTATTCTTATCCTGACCAGATAATAATTTTGAACGGCCTTCAAAAGATGCAGGGACTTTATTACATTTTCTCTGTATTGTATCTACAATTCCCTGATAGCAAATTTTCTAGCAATTACTTCCGTTGATCGAATGGCTATCGCCGT